GGGGTTCCCGCTGGATTGTCTTTTGTGGCCGGGGCTGGATCGGCGCGGCCTCGGGCTGCAGCGCTGCCCTGCCCGCCGCTCACCTGGCGGCCGCAGGTACCGGGGCTCCCGCTCCCTCTGCTTCCATTGTCCCACATCCCAGCCCCTTCGGGATAAAACTTCCTTCCCTGACTCTTCGACTCGTGTAGCGTTTCTGGAGCGCAACTCTTTTCTCTTGGGCAGCGGTGATTTCTCTTTCACCGCCGCCTCATGCGGTGTTCCTCTTCAGAAGTGTTTCTTTTAAAAGAAATAATCGAGGCACCTCCGTCATAAACGAGGTCTCCGCATTTCTCTCGTCTCGTATGGCGTGTTTTTTTTTAGTGAGCTGATTTTTGTTTTCCTCTAGAGCACAGTAGTGAAAATACTTTCCGAGGCCTCCGAATAAGCAGTTTGTTTTCCCGGAGCCTTAAGTACAGGAAGCCCAAATTAGTGCCTCGCTTCTTGCCTCGAACACTGGTCTGGTCAGAATTAGGCAGTCACATGTCTGGTTTTTTTACACGCTGGAAAGGTGGTGTCTCAGTGCTGTTTTCATCTGAAAAAAAAAAAAATCTTATTAATTTTTCTAGTCCAGGGTGCAGTAGAAGTTTCTCTGCTTCTTTTAACGAGTTGCTCGTCATGTTGAATGATATTTAAAGAAATCTTCAGCATGTGAGATCATACATTCTAATGGCAAAAGCCAGTTTGTTGTCAGCTGTCTTCCCTGTACTGCCTAGGAAACCTGATTTACTGTGTGTGTTAAAGTGCTTGTTACTTCAGAAATGTTAGGATGAGTCTTAATTTTCCATTATCTTTATAAGATCTTGGTGCATGTTCTGTTTATCCCCTGAGAGTTTTCTCCCATTGAAACTTCAAAAGCTGATTCTTAAAATTATTTTACATTTGTGCATCACTGGCTTCAAGTGGCCTCTGAGGCCACAGGCTGCTTCTGTCTTCTTTTCCCACCTAAACTGATACTAGCTTTGCTTTTTATTTGATCCTGTTTGAATAAGTTGCTTTGTTAACGCATGCAAGGATTTCATAAAGAGAAGGCTGCTTTGGAAAATGTCCTAGAGGTTTTACTAGTACTGCTTGATTTTTTTTTCCCCTTTTTTGCATAGGAATTACCTCATTTCATGTGCAATTTAACTTTTATGAAAGGCTTTATTGCCTGTTCTTTTGAAAATGAAATGTTTTAATCCTCTGCTGAAGTTTGACATAGGGCAAGGGAACAAAGCTTAAGATATTATAATTTATTGAGGGGGTGTGTGTGTGAACTGGAAGTATACTACATATGTTTTTGAACAAAAATTCCTAAATACTGGTGGTGCTTGTTAGATGTCGTGTTTTTTATCAAATGAGTTAGAAAAATATTTCAGAAATCAGTAATTTGTGGCAAATAAAACAGCTCTTCTTGTTTGATAGTTTTAAATACTATCGCCTGTTGAGGCTACTTTATGTAAAACATTTCCTGTGTGTGAGGCCCACAAGAGGAACAGGAAGTAGGAGAAATTGCTCTGGGGTAAGTTGGAGAGTTTTGGGAACTTGGGAGATTCCCTGTTCTTATTATGCTGTGCTGAAAATGCATTGTTTAAGGTTATGAAAATCACTGGGTTAATGTACGTACTTTAACTGAAGAAATGGATACTGATATTTAGTAACTCCTAGAATGATTATGATGCTCTAAATGGAGAGGTGCAGATAGGTTTAATTAGTTCATTACTGTTGCCTCTCCAAGTGCAGCAGGATCCATCTCTTGGTGGGTGACCAGGCACCAGGGGACTGCAGGGCCCAGCCTTCTCTTACAGTGTTCTTCAAGAGTCTTCCAGGCAGCAGCCATTGGATCAGGCTGTAACTCCAGCTGTGAGGTGCTGGGTTATGATGACATGGCAGGTCGGCTTTGAAGAGGAAGTACGAGGAACTGAGCTGGCTCATAACTGGTGTGGTGGCTTATTGGTGGAGTTGGTGAAATGGGAATGGCTTAGTAAGATAAACCAGTGTGTGATTCCCTGAAAAGTCATGAATTGTTGTAGGAGAGAGTGGAGGGAATTTGCATACAGTAGCATGCAAGTCACTTTGCAGAGTCGTTTTTGGGTACTTTAGATTTCATACTGCTGTTTTAAGAACAACCACCCTGCCTTCTGCTTCTCTGCCGTGTTTCCCTGAAGTTGCTGCAGGTCTGCTGGGCAGCATGGATCCTTCCTTTGGAATGATGGCCAGCTGCTTGAAGGACAGGAGATGAAACAGGCAGGGTTGCCTGTGTGTCAGCCTAAAAGGATCTTTTCTGCTCTCAGCTCTGTGTTGCTGCTTTACAGTGGTTTAGAGCTCATAAAAAAGAGGTGATCTTCTTTGCAAGGGTTTAGCTGCAATCCTTGAGCTGTCTTGAGCACTCCTACAGAAAGGAGCAATGTGTAGGTGCTGTGGTGCTCTGGAGGGTTACCCAGGTGCAGCAAACCCAGCTGTAGGCAAGTCATTGTGATTCCATCAATGAAATAAGGTGTTATAAGTAGATGTGTGATGTGATATATATATATAATGTTCACTGCTGACAAGAGCTAGTGAGAGTTGCTTGTGGTACAGCTACCACTATTTTTTAAAGTAGTTAGTCAGGGAGTCTCATTTTAGGTAGTTTAAGCATATATTATTAATATACTAATTAATACGTGCTGATATATCAACATATATCAGCATATATTAACAACTTTTCCCCCTCAGATCCCTGTTAAGGAAAAATACAGCTTGTTTCCCTAAGTAGAAAAGCCTTGTTAGAGAAGTCTAACGTGCAGGCTGCCCCAGCCTGGCAGCTGCCTGCCTCTCTCCAGGGCTCCGTGGCTCTGGCTCCAGCGGTGCCGGCGTGGCCGGGGGAGCTGCTGCCAGCCCAGCTCCTCTCCTGGCTCCTCTCCTGGCTTGGCTGGAGCAGCCCAGCCCGTGTGCTGTGCTGCCTGCCTGGGGCACCCCTGCAGCTCCAACATTGCTGCTCTGCTCTGCCTCCTGCCAGAGATGTAACGTAGCCTCTTACAGCCCCACAGAGGTTACTTTGAGTGCAAGGGCATTAATAATTGCAGAGGTGAATGTTGGTGATGGAGTTGACTCTCGACGCTTCAGCTCTTGGTGTAGTCAGAGGTGGTGTTGGA